CCGGGAAACCGGTCTAGGGAACTCGAGGAGACCCCTCGAGGTTAAACCTAGATAAGCATTGTATAGGAAACCTCGTTCGGAAAAAGAAGCTCACATAAAGAAAAAAAAAAGAGAGAGAAAAAGAAGAATGGGAGTTGGCTTATTGGTTTCATGCTTATGATGTTTATATGTTTAGTAGACCATCTATAGCTTTTTGCACGTGTATGTAGAAAGAGGAAGCTTGGATCGAGAAAATCATGTGTAGGATGACTTGGGACGAGTTTTTGTTTTGTAAGGATTCATTTTGTGGGGAACATATTTTCGAATTTGAGTTCGATTCGTTGGCTTACCGGATGGTAAGGAGAGTCTCATATTCCGCATGATTGTTAACCTTGGACCGTTCAGCATTTCTTTTCGAGCTACTTATTATTTTGTTTGCTTGAGGACAAGCAAAAAGCTAAGTGTGGGGGAGTTCTTTATTGTGTTTTTGTGCTTATTTTCGTGTGTTTTAAGTGTTTTAGTTTAGTCTTTTTAGGCCCGTTTTAGTGTCAACCAGTCCATTTTATCGTGTTTCGTGTATTTTTCTTGTCTTTCTCTTTATTATATTTTTGGCGTACTTTTCCGTGCTCTTGGGTGTATTTTCAGGATTATTCCGAGGATGATAAGAGGAGTCGAACCAAGTCCCGAGAGACAAACCTTTTCAATGAACCCCGAGTCATTTCTGAGAATTTCGAGCCGTGTCGATCCTAGTTTCAAAACCAAGCCAGCCTCGTGACCTCGAGGGTGCCACTTCCCAGGGCCACTCGCGACCGCGCGCCTCGACCCGCACCTCGCAGACGCACGATGCCGCTGCCCAGGACGCACGATGTCGCTGCACTCGCGAGCACGCGAGCCATCCCGCGAGGTCGAGAGCACCGTGTTCCTCGCGTCCGCGCTCGCGGAACCGCCCGTCAGGTCGAGAGTAGTCTTCTTTCTCTTGTCCGCGCCCGCGAAAATAGCCGCCAACTCGAGAGTATTGTTTTTCGCCCGCGCCACCTGCTGCCCGCGAGCGCGAAAGACCCCGCCAGCTCGAGAGTACGTCTGCTCCAACAGGTCCGCGCGCGCGAACTCCTTCGCCAGGTCGAGAGTGCTGCCAATCCTCCGCGCCAACTCGTGACTTGCCCGTGCCAATGCTGTCTGCGACCCACGGAAATTTCCTCCAGTTCGAGAGTGCTTTCATTTAATGTGCGTGAAATTAGTGTGTGTTTTGAGCTGGACTATATATATGTTTTGGCCCTTTGTATTTTGAACATCTAGATTTCATTCACTTTCCCACCTTGGGAATAGCTATTTTAGCATGCGAGATTTGTTCTTGCGAAACGATTTTTTATATCTTCATTGCTTAATAAAATCGGCTATTACAATGAGTATTTAAAGAGAACAAAATCTAATACTATAAGGAATAAACTTCTGATCCTAAAATAAAATACTAATTCTAAGGAAACTAAATATCAAGCATCCTAAGACTTCTAAAATCGTAAAACTCCTGACCCATCTATTCTAACAATGTTGGTATATGTGTCCTAGAGACAATCATTTTAAGGACATATATACATTATCACATTAATAATTATATTGGATTATAATTATGGTACTATGATTAATTAAATAATTGTTTGGTTGTTTGCAATTTATTAATTAATTGCTCTTTTGAGTTGATAATGTCATTAACAGAGTGAAATGTTAATTGATAAAGTATAACTCTCAAATCGCCTCAATCGATGATCATTAAAAAAAGGATATTAATGATACGTGATAGATTAACATGTGGTTTGCATCACATTTGTGGAGAATATAGTATGTCTCACTGTTATGAATAATTGTTATTCGTGATGGACACATGGATACTTTGGAGAGTATTGACATACCCTACCGACCCATTCTGATGCTTATTCCGGCGGGGCTCCTATCTGGTTTTTCGAGTATGAGGCTCGGAATGATGCCCGTTGGACTGCTTTCACTGAGCAAAACGACGCACGTTGGACGTCGTTCGTAGAGACCAACGACGCACGTTGGACGTCGTTCGTAGAGTCTAACGACGCGCGTTGGACAGAGCAGACTCGGCAGTGGAACAACTTCGTGCGGGACAACACGGATCGCTGGACCACCCACGACAGCCGATGGGACACTTGAGTAGAGCAGCAGTACCAGCAGTGGACCACTTGGGACACCCATTTCAGTCAATGGGATACCTGTTGGAGTTCGCGCGACAGCAACCCACCACAGCCGCCACCGTCGGACGCACAGTGACAAAAGTCACTGTGCCTTGTACGTTCTCTTTTTCCTTTTCTCTTTTGTTGTTATGTTTGTTTTAGTTTTATTAGTCAGTTGATTATATGGTTTGACTCTCTTATATTTAGGATCGACAATGGGGACTTGTCGAATTCTAAGTGTGGGGGGGTTTTTACGTGCTTACGTGACTATGTGATTGATTAGGTCTAGTTTTTATTCTTAGAGTTATTTTTATTTTCGTTTCTTTTGTCTAGTAGACCGGGCCAATTTGTAGGATTATGTGTTATCTTTCTGAGCTTGGACTGTGGTGTATGGTAAGATTAGTTAATAATTAATTGATTAAGTCGAGAAGTTGTGATGATGAGCATGAGAGTTGCATCCTTGATGAATTGCTTGGTTATTTTGATTGACTTCATCTACCCTTGTGAGGTTTGAGCCATACTCGTTTCTTTTCTGTGAGATGTTGGTCTAAATTATATTCGATTAAAATTTGCCTTGAGTCTGCGGTGAAATAAATTGATTGAATTTGTGCAATGTGAATATGATGGAGGCATTCTTTGAATTATCTTTTCCGTTCTCTTTCTCGTAAATAATTCCGCTAGTCACCCCCGTTGAGCCTTATCGATTTTCCCTCTTTTATAACCTCGTGACGTTGACATAGTGAAGTCGCGGGTGGGGAATGGGAGGTGGGTGGTGTCGATGTGTTAAAAAAAGAAAAAAAATAATGTGTGTGTATATATTCGAATAATTTGAATAGCGTGTAATCTTGGGATAACATGGAGGAAACGGTTGGTGTTAGACAACCGGGAAAATTGACGATGATGGTTATGTGAGTGTCTTGCGTTGATTATATGTTTATAGCCACTTAGCCTATATTTATCCTACCTAATCCAAAGAGCCTACGTTACAACCCTAAAAGTCCTCTTGATTCACGATTGCATGAGTTTGAATTTATTTTAGAGTAACAGTTAGATGATATGCAAATTTATGATTGATATGATTGACGACCAACTTGAGCGCACCTACATATTTGATAAAGAAACTGAGTGAGGCACGTGATATTTATATTTTCGTACTCGAGAGTTGTTGTTTGTCAATATAGCCAAGTAATAGTTGAGATGTGCTTTTGTGATCATTGGAATTCTTGTCGACTTGATTGATTAGTTGAGATTAGTCTTGCTTGAACCGTTGTCCTTGCTCATTTGTTTCTTTTCTTTTCTTTTTATTCGGGACGAACAAAGGTCTTAGTGTGTGGAGTTGTTTGTCCTATTTTTGTTGCTATTTTTGTTAGAATTTTGTCGGTTTTATCCCTCGTATAGGTCGTTTATTAGATATTTTCCGGTCTCTTTAGTCGCTTTTTCTATTTTCTTTATTATTTTGGTATGTTTGTTGTTTTTGTCCTATTGCTTCGTGAGTCAAATTTCCAGTTCGGGCAGGAAACAATAAATGAGAGCACGCGGAACGAGAACGTCGAAAATCATAAAAATGGGGTCGGAACAGGAGCTAGCGCCGCTAGCTACCCCTAGCGCCGCTAAGGGTAGCATGCTAGCGGCGCTAGTAAATCGTAGCGGACTTCTGCAGCTCCGGATTTTCATGACCTAGCGCCGCTAGCCCCCCCTAGCGACGCTAGCAGCTGCTGGCAGACAAGATTTTCTTCTTTTTCCCTCAAATTGTGGCTTGTTTTGTGAGTGCTATGTAGTGGAGTATTTTGATCATGTTTTTTGCGAATTTTAGTAGTGGTGTTAGAGATGTTACTCTTATAAATACCACTACATTTAGGATCATTTGGCATCATCTATCATCTACTACCATTGTTCATCATTTTCCTTTCATTTTTAGTTTGTATTTTGTTGTTTTGAAGCACTATTTTGGAGAACATTGTTCTATTGGAGATTAAGTTTGCATTTGCTCTTGGATTTCACTTTACCAAGTAAGTAGTTTCCTTCATTTTATGATGGTTTATTTGTGTGTGAATGTTTACGTTAAACTTATTATGAGCAACTAATCTTCTAACTAGGGTTAGGGGATAATCGTTTCGGTTCATTCTTACTTATGTGTATGTCAATTACTCAATCTTTACGAGTTTTACTTATTTCACGATTGAATGCTTGATCACCATTTTAATCTAAACAATTGATTTCAAAACCGAGAGGGGCGAAATTGGTAGAACTTGGCTCGTTTAGAGTAAACATGTTCGGAAGCGTATTGTCTATGTGTTAATTGTCTCGTTAATTTACTCATTCATGTTTTTCCGTATATTACGAGAGTTAGTATGGTAAAACCACTAAATGAATTAGTTAATCGAGCCTTTTAACCGCGTAATTGATCACCGTCAAATTTATGTAAAACCGAAGACAATTGTCCCCGATACCCTAATCATTTACATTTCTTGGAATTATTTTCATCATTTTAGTCCATTTATATCTTGTAAATTGCATTTCTAAGTCGTGACATTTAAATTGCTTAATTTGAGAATTTTTAGTCGATAATCAAATCCCAACAAATCGAATTAGAGTGTTTAGGAATATTTTCGTTTTTGTGATCAAATAAACGTACAAAATAGTCCGGCTAACCTTCCTTGAGAACACGACCCGGTGTTCGGATCTTTTGATTCTACTTCGGTAAAATAAAAATACAACAACGCCGTTTATGAAGGACACATCACCCAACTGGAAAAAGCTCTAAAAGACTGCACAGAACAACTGAATTTCGTCCGGAAAGAACAGGAGACAAGAGTCCACAGCGCCATAATGAAGACATCACACCAACACGAAAAATCAAAGACAGAAGAAGAAAAACTATCCGAAGCCTGTAAGAAAATCGCCAGATTAGAAACCGACAACTCCCAGTTCAAAAAATCCCTCCTGAAAAAGGATCGAGCAGTCGAGGAGCTAAACAGGTACAAATCACAGGTGGAAGCCGAGCTAAACTCACTCATCCAAAGATTAGAGTCGACTCAGAAGGAAAATTCCTCCCTCAAATACGAAATCCGGGTTCTCGAGAAAGAACTCGAAATTCGGCACGAAGAGAGAGAATTCGATCTCCGAACTATCGATGCTGCCCAAAAGAAGCAAATCGAGAGCCTCGAAAAAATCTCGAGACTCGAATCTAAATGTCAGAAGCTCCGCTCACTCGTTCAGAAACGCTTGTTGGGCCCCACTGCTTTCGCGAGGATGAAGAACGAAATCGAGGGGCTTGAAAAGAACTCGCCTGAGAAATCGAGACGAAGACGGTTGAATCAAAGATTTGTTGGATCGACGGATTTCCGCGCTGACGTGGCGGGTGACGGGTTGACTAAAAGGGTTGACTTTTTGAGCGAGCAGTTGCAGAGGATGGAGGAAGAGAACACGAGGCTAAAATGTGCGCTCGAGGGGAAATTGAGTGTGGACGAATTATATAAAGGTCAGAAAACAATTGACGCGAGTCTGTCTGAGTTGGGCAGTGATGAGAAAGCTAGCTTTGCTGGGTCATGGGCATCTGCCTTGATAAACGAGCTTGAGAATTTCAAGAATGAGAAGAAATTGAACACTTACATGGGAACTCCAGACATGAAACTCATGGATGACTTTGCAGAGATGGAAAAGCTGGCACATTCACCTGCAGTAAAAGATGGAAAAATTAGTTTCTTAAATTCAAAAGCATGTGGTAAAGGAAATGAAAATGAAAATTGTTCGACTGGAAAAAAGAGTGCGAGTGAGTTCAACATGAGTGTACCGTTGAAAAAAATCATTGAGCTTCTTGAAGGAATAAATGTAGTACCACAAGATGATATTGGTAAGATTTTGCTGAGTAAGGACTTGGCAATCCAAATGATTCGAGTGTTCAAATGTGAAAGTGGGGAAGTAACAGCTGTTTTGAGACGGTTTGTTCAAATTTGCGATGAATTGTTGGGTGGAGAAGCTGATATTGAACAGTTTGTTCAATTGGTAGCCTCTAATTTGGAGTGGTTTATGAGCCACTGCTTTGAGCTTCGAGATGTCATGAGCATGAGCGATTACGGTGGATCGGGAAGACAATCTGCAGAAACTAGTGACCTGTGTATTGTAACAAACGAGGCAAAAACATTGAACTTACAACCAGCAAATAAGAAATTATCGATCAAAGGTCATGAAGAGCAGCAAATTAAGAAGGTTGAGACTTTCGGAATTCAACTTAAAGACTCGAACGGCATAATCAAGCATTCACAGTCAGAGAAGCCTACTAAGAGGGAGTCTGTAGATAATAGTTCCGAAGATCAGACTGAAGAACAGAAGATAATGAAACAAGACAGTCAGAGTCAGACACAGATTGTGAAAACAAACTTTGAATACAACAAACCTTGCGAAGAGATTTCATGTGGAGAAAATGATCTCGAAAATACTAGAAAGTCTTTCAAAGATCTGGAAGAAACATGCCATGACCTGAAAAAACAGCTAGATGGGTATGTTTTAATTCTAAAAGTTCGTTTGGAATCAAATTCTTCTTTTGATTTTTCGTTCTCTGACTGTATGTAACTCAGGGAGAGAAGCAAAGAAGTCACAAATGACAAAAGTCAACTTCAAAATGTAAGTTTGAAACATTCGAATGTTGCATTGCATTCTGTCAGGGTTTTGCCTAAGTAGAATTTGCAGCCTCTAAACTTGTACTGAAATTTTACTTTGTAGGATGTGGAAATTACTTCGGCTTCAGATAAATTGGCCGAGTGGCAAGAAACCCTACGAAATCTGGGGAAGCAATTAAAGGCATTGGCTTCCCCTAAAGATGCAGACTTTTTTGAAAAGGTTTTATCAACACCGGCTGATCTTGTTATTACCAGCATGTCAACTCCTAAAGGAAATGGAAACCAATGACTGTCCCTACTAGATAAGATGTTAGCAGAAGACAATAATGTTAAAATCGGTATCTCACCCAAAACGGTAGATGCCATTGAGAATGGACACGATAATTCTGCTTTTAGCAACAATGCAACATCAGAGACTGGGAGCAACTTTACCTATCTAAATGAAATTGGTCATGATGCAGACAGAAATGCAATTGTTCACAAGGCTATTGTCCCTCGTAGGAAAAAAGACAGCAAGAGTTTTCTAAAGAAGTTAATCTGGTGGAAAAAGAGAAGTAATGGCAAGAAGACACCTTTCCCATGAGGTAGAAGAGGGTTGGTGGATACAAACTTTATAGTTACTGCTGTCTGTGTTGCTCATCTGAAATATTGTTGTCTAATATGTGCATACTGTACAGAGAGGAACGAAGGAGATAAATAAACAACCATATCGTGTTGTGCATCTGTATAAAACGAAGAAAAACGGAATAGAATCAGAGCAACAAAAACGTTACAAAATCCTGAAATTAATCAGAAATTGTCGATTTCATTCCAACAACTACTAGAAATGCCATCGCAAAGAAATACTTGTCGCATGTATCTTCTAAAATACATGTTCATGAAAGGCTTTGCTGGATCAATATTAGCCAATTGAAACACGGTACAAGGATTTCTGATGTAATCGCAATATAAAATGGCAGGGCCTCCCACATCAGTTCGATAGGAATATCCCAGTGAGTTGGGGAAAACCCGTATTATCAGAAATGTGATAGAAGCAACACCTGTACACATTACACATAAATGAATCATGGAACAATTTTCTTTTTATTGGTATAAGTGTCTTTAGTAATCAAGAAGCCATATGGAATAAAATCCAATTTTGGCAGAAATAATTATTTTCATTTTTGTGATTTAAATGCTCTCTTAAGCATAAGTCGCAGTAGGCACTGCTTGAACAGAAATTGAATGCATAAAAGCACAAATGCATAGATTTCATGCTCAAATCTAATACTAGTCTCGGTAAAGAACAAATTTCGCAATATCATGAAGCCCAGCCTCGCTGTAACAGTCAGCAACCCTCTCTACACATGCATCCCATGTCCCTTCAACAGAAGCTAAATCCAATAAAAAGGCAGCTTCGTCTAGTGCAATCTGATAATGGATTGTTAGATGAATAAGAGAGCGAAACAGAAAAACAGAATTCAATAGAATCTTGATCAGCAAGATTCAACCTGAGCAGGTTCTTTTCCCTTTTTCAGATCTTCTTGCCTTCCCTCATCTGTCACTTTCTCTTGGATGAACTCAATTTGCTCGTCCTCCCATTGAGCCATACCAGCAACTTCCTGACAAGCATAAATTGAGAAAAAGTTACACAAGATATGAGGAGGTTGAAAAGAGAAATTAGCACAAGTTGAGAAGATTAATCAACAATTTCTACCTGATACTCACATCCCAATGTCCACCAAGGTGATTTCAAAGCCACCCTTGCAGAATCTTTGGCTTCTACATTTCGTCCAACCCTACTCGAGGAAAACAGAAGAAGAGAATACGGATAAAGGAACATAATGTACGATAAAGGAACATATGTACGAACTTCAACAAAACTTCTGCGTTAAAGACAAAAGGACGCCCAAATCCTGGAAAGTGCTCCCTCTTAGTGTAGTATTCCCCGGTCACCATAGCTGAAACCTTACAGCAGCATGCATGTATCACCAAAAAAGTAATCAAGGCCACTTTACTCATAATTGCTGCTAGGTCAAAATCTTACATGGTCTCCTTTGTCAAAATGCTGCTTAACTTTGCGTTCTAGTATGTCTGGAAACAAACCCACCTGGAAAAATAATTAATGCTTGGTTAAAATAAGCTAAAGTTGGCAGTTCGAAAAGCTTGCAGCACCACCTTCTTCAAAAGGTAGCTCTCTATGCTTGACAACTGAGATGCAACAAAATCACCCTTCTCATAGAACTTAATCGCAGCAGGAAATGAAACATGAAACAGCTCATCATTTCTTTCTTTAGAGTTCTTGACATCTTCTTCTACTAATATTCTGTTGATATACTGCTCGACCTGTTTTCAGGAAAAATGACAAGGTAATGTTCATATCCACACACCCTTCTACGTGCAAAAATGGGAATTGCAACCACAGCTCGTCGCCAGGAAGTGCAAATGCAGTAAACAATATGCAGCTGTGGTTAATGAACAAATGCAGATCACTCACATTCTTAGCCAAAAGCCACACTCCATACTTGCGAACCTCTACTACGGGCATCTCCATCCTGTGGACATTAAGGAGAGAAATTAAGTAACTACATATGCACATTGAACTTTGCCTATTACATTCATTCAAAACCACATTACCCAGTGGGAGCAGTTGGCCATCTTAACAATGCAGTTACTGAACCTATCACCAGTAACATAAGATGAACGTCATTAGCAATTTAACTTACTGTAGACCCTCGGTTATAGAAAAATGGACCGCACACCTGAATTATTCTTGGATAGAGGGACAACAAGAGGAAGCAACCCTTGCTTGGCTCCAGGAGAAATAATCTGTTCGCCTGTCATAGTGTAAGATCGAAAATTACTCTCCAATGCAATGAAATTGAAAAGCCATCAAAATACAATCGGCACATTCCACATTAGCAGAAGTTTGCAACATCTAAACCAAATCCTCCACCTTTTAATTAACCAACAGAGACTAGAGACCAGAAGATATTGCAGCAGATCAATAATTTGTCTTATCACTTTGTATTCTAGATTTTATAGAAAATTGAACATTAAAAGCAATTAACATAATAAATAGCATCCAGCACATAAAATATCCTTAAATTTTTTATTTGCAGAATGCAAGTGCAGCTGAAACAGTTATAAGCCGGTAACAGTAAATACCTCTAAGCTGAAGCACTTTGAGAAGATGATTCAAATGCTCCGGCGGCCGCGTGGCGGCCACTTTATTGATAAAAGATGAGTGTTCTTCCATTCAAACAATCCAAATATTAACATTAGTGGGTGCATATTCGCGGGTGAATCCCACAATTATATATCCTATTCGTGAGTGCTCAAAAAATGATGGAAGCTAAAATACCAGGAAAAGATGAAGAGTAGCACCGGATAGAGATTCGTCGACGCCTGAAGAGAGCCACGGGAAACGCGGCGGCGCGTGGAACTCCAAACACAACTCCACCACCGGCTTTCATATCCGTTTGCCAAGCTGGCTGGGTACGGTTTGTTGGTATTGTTCTGCGGAGAAAATTGGAGAGGAGAAGTCGATATTTTTTTGGCCGATTGCGTCGGTTAAGTGGTTTGGGCCTTGTTTGTTGTGGATATATTGGGCTCTGCAGATGGGCCAGTTTATTCCTTTCATGATGCAATTCTCATTCTTATTGGTTAAAGGCATGTGGGTAAATAATTCTTATTGGTTAAAGGCATGTGGGTAAATGACATGTGTTTTTNCTATCGCCGGCCGGTCCATGTTAGAATTTTTATTTCAAGCGAAAAAAATATTTTTTTGTAATAAAAAAATAATGAAGGAAGTAATTTATTGAAACCATAAACAAAAGATGTCACTAAATATACATCAAACCCCTAAATTAAAGTAATAAACAAATGGCCAAGAATGAAGTAATAACTCGTTAAAAAGATTTTAGTTTTATACCTGATATTTTTTTTTGTATCATCTCTAGCAATATAAATATTTTTTTCTTCGATAGAATTATACATATAAAAAGAAAATAACATCAATCATAGTCGATTCCTTATTTTTTCAATTCCATTCCAACCCATCATTTAGGATCTAAAATCATAGTCATGCGTTCAATGATAAACACTTGCTGAAAATTTGAATATATAAGATAATCATAATATATTTTGTTTCAATACAAAACATCGATGTAGTAGCCCTATCCGATTCATTCTCCTATGCCTACACAGATCGATTTTGAGCAACAATCCAAACAAATTAATTTATAACATCAATTAACCCTCACAGGCCAACATAAAATAGTACTCAAAAAGGTTAATTTAAAAAAATAGTAAATGATGGGTTAAATTTAATATAAAATAGTACTCAAAAAGGTTAAATTTAACAAAATAACCAATCATAATGAAATAAAAACTGATGTAAATATGAAATAATAAGAACAAAAGATTTTTTTATGCTTCTGATCCTATTGCTGTTTGTAGGACTGAAACAAAACAATAAGGAAAGTGGTTCCGAGGAACAATACACTAATCTAGTAGCAACAAACAAAGTAGATTTTTCTTTTATTATTTCTTATAGAATCCAAAGTTCCTTAAACACCAGTCTGAAACTTCAAACTTAAAAAGTACAACCTTAACCTACAAAATAGTTAGTAAATATCACTGTTCATTATAAGCAAAGCACATAAATAAGATAAGTGAGAAAAAAAATTATGTAGATAAGTGAGAAAAAAATTATTTGATTGTCCCAAATATAATCTAAAGAGCCCTAGTACCAGTTACGGTGTACCTAATAATATCATTTCATGTATAATTATGAAAATATTTTAATGCGTTAATATTTTCACACACAAACATACAGACAATGAAAGAAATATTGTGTGAATAACAAGAAGGTTATACATAGTCCATTCTATCCAATTTGCAATTGTTCAGCCGAAATATAACACGCAGCAAATCCATGTACACCTTTAAACTTCAGCAAAGCAAGAAAAATTATTATAAAATGAAATTACTATTAGTAAATACAACAAAACAAAGTTTATATTATTATGTTGCATACAAAAAACAATCCTACATGCAGCCGGGCAAAAAACAAACAAATAAGTATACTTTCATTATATTCATAAGTAGCAGAACACCATAAATATATAAAATTTCAGTTTTGGCTAAGTACTTTGTAGTCAAACAATATATATCAAGTTTTGCTTTAAAAGGCAAACACATTAACTCACTAAATACCCAAAAGACAAAAAAAAATAAGAAAGAGGTCATTCTCGCACTCTCGAAGCCATTTCAGAAAACACGAAAACCTAAAAAAAAAAGAAAAATAATAATAATAAGGCAGAAAATTTTGAACCTAAATGCAAAAAGATTAAAAATTTCTTACCTAATTTGATCCATAGCCGCATACAAAGAGGAATCGTAGATAGAATTTGAGAGTATGTGAAAGGGCTGTCAAAATTGGCGATGAAATTAGATCTGAGTTGTGAACGCCCGACTGGGTTTATTTTCTTTTTGTGTGAAATGGCGTCGTATGAGTGCAGTCGAACTCAGCCCGACCCAAATTGTGAAGCCCTCTCCTCCGCAGAAGGAATCGCCCAAAGCACCACAAAGGGCCTGCGATGGAAGAGAGGGGGAGACGATGATGCAGCGGTTGTACGACTGAAGGATGACGGAGTAACGGCTCTCCTTCACGCCTCACAAACGATCGATTGAAGGTCAAAGAGAGATTTGCATCGCGAAGAACAAAGAGTGAGAAACATAGGAGAAAGAGAGTTCAGCGTGAGGGCCAGAATGAGAGGAGAGAGCATTTAAAGTCTTAGACGAACGGTAAAATTGAATCCCTAAAATCCAACGGCTCAGAAAAGAACTCGCCAAAACGGTGTCATTTTGATCAGGACAAATAAAATATAGTCACAATCAGGGGCGTAGCTACTTGAGAACCAGAGTGGGCCTAGGCCCACACTCAAAAATACAAAGTGAACATAAAATTCTCAAGGGTCCTAGTAACTTGAGTAAAATAAGTTTATTTCAAAAACATGGTAAGAAAAGTAGATTTAGGAAGAAAAGGGAAAAAAATATATATATATAATAAAAATAAGTTGAAAATATATTTCTTTTTTCAATAATTCTTGAAAATTAATGGAATATAACTCTTATTTTATACTTCACTTCATTTATTGATTGGTAATTTTACTAATTTTAATTTTTCCAATATTATATGCTATTCAATTAATTTGTTTGTAATTAATATCTGATGATTAGTCCCTTTGATTGTTTTTCTTCTATTAGGTCAACAAATATGGTTTGAATATTGTATTTATTGTTGTTTTTAAATCTAAGAGAAATTTGTAATAGATATTTATTAATGTATAGGTGTTAAAATAGTAAGATATGTTTAATTTGAATGTATAACTATTTTTTTTAAAACTTTCATAGAGCGGATGAATAAAACCTTTAAAATGGCCATATCGAGAAAATGTGAAATTATTATTGTCTTGAAAATTTTATGTATTTTCTTTTTATTTTTTACTTAAAATATTATTTTTATTTCTTTTTGTCTTTGATTTTTACTTATAAAAGATAATGTTACGTTACTTTAAAAATTTTAGGCCCCTACTCATATAGATTGCTAGATTCGCCCCTGGTCAGAATAACACAAAATATTTAGGTTAAAGAACATGTTCCATAATTTTCAAAGAAGCTTGCAAACGTAAGCATAGAACAAAAAACAAACACAAAAAATTCGAATAAAAAATCCAAAATAATAATAATAAAATGAATAAAAAAGAACTAACCTACATGCAAACACAAATATCATTTTAAAAAAAATAATGGCATGTCATACATTTTAAACAAACAATTTGGCACCTGAGAACTTAGGTAAATCGGATCCATCAAATTGTATGGTATTATCAGCGTCTCTTGCCCAAATCCAAATCCCAATAATTAACTGGAAAAACCAACACGCAAGAAAAGCCTTCATATAAAACCAAACAAATAAGATTGTTATTTTCATGGGAAAATTAACTTTTAAAACAAACAACCTAGTCTTATGAGCAAGAAATGCAATAACAATTGAAAAATACAACAATACATCTAAAGTATTAGGAGCGCTTCACCAACATAAGAAAATTGATATATTGCATCTCAAAGAAGTTAGGTGATTACAAAAAATAGCTACACTGGAGAAGTTTACACAAATTTTACACGTGATGGAAAAGGATGGAGATGCAAAAAATCTTATTAATAGCTCATTGCATGGGATAGATCTTAAACGTAATTAAGTTCAATTTAGAAGTTACATTTGTGAATTAAGATTTCATCACTCTTTATAATTGGTATTAGAATTTGCTGGTGCAATTGGAACAAAACGTTAAGAACTAACAACGTATTTGACAAAGAAATCTGTAAGCTCCTATGGAGAGGAGCATCCTTCGAAATAAACTTTCTTAATCTCTAGAAACAATCTTCAGTATGCTCAAAGTAAAAGACCATATTTAATTTAAAAGCATGAACTAACAGCCCAAGCAGGAAAAGATAACCTAAATTCATTTTCATTCCCTCAAAGTATGCTCAAAGTAAAAGACCATATTTAATTTAAAAGCATGAACTAACAGCCCAAGCAGGAAAAGATAACCTAAATTCATTTTCATTCCTCAAATGATTACTTAGTTTTACAAAACTGAGAGAGAAAAATAATACCAAATACATAGATTTAGATATCAGTTTTAACTTTTTTTGGAGTTAATATGAGAGAGATTAGACTCCATAAGCAACACACATATTATGGAAATTTTTAATAAATTTACCAAAATCTGACTGAAGAGACCTTAAAGAGATAACTCGTGAAATCAACTGCAAAAGCAAATGTCATTGTAAAAAAAAAAAGAGAGATGAGATTAACAGACGCTAATAATCCAGCAGTTGACAACATCAAAGTCTTTGACCAAGGAATGTTTCACCATCAAGCAAAAAGGGTGATGAAGATAGTTTACCCAGCTTCAATAACAAGGACTTTCTTCAATTGGTCCACTCAAGACCTCAAGGTTCTCTTCTTTGGCAACAAATAACCTGATTCCATTTGGGAAATCATGTCTTTTGCAATAGCAAAGCCTCAACATTACAGTAAATCAAAAGAAATTAATAGCTTGGACAATAAATAAAAGAAAACACTAAACTAAGCATTAATCTAACCATATATAAACACAAGCATACTATGGATGATAAGAAAACGTTAGAAATATGGTACTCGCTACCACAGAAAACACAATCATCAAAGAACAACAACAGCAATCACGATATATGCAGGCTTACACAAGCACAAACAGAGCCTAGAGGCCAGAAGATATTGCAGCAGCAAATCAATAATTTGTTCTATCACATCGTAGATCACAAAATATTACAACTTTTATAAATAAAAAAAATTAAAAAATGAACTTTAAAAGCAATTAACATAATAAATATAAATAGCATCCAACATCTAAAATTCTATAGGTACTGTATTTGCAGAAAATACATGTGCAACTGAAACAATATCGGGTAATAGCAAAGTACCTTTAAGCTGAAGAACATTGAGAATATGACTCAAATGCTCGAGCGGCCGTGTGGCGGCCACATGATTGATAAACGATGAGTGTTCTTCCATTCAAACAACTCAAATATTAACATTAGTGCGTGTGAATCCACAGTTATATATCCAATTTGTAATTCGTATGTGCTAAAAAAGTACGGTACCTAAAATACCAGAAAAAGATGAAGAGTAGCAGCGGAAACTCTCTTCCGGGCTCGTCAGCCCGTCAAGTTTTGTAGAAGGCGCTTCCCGTCATATGTGCCTCTCGGACAGCTCTCGAATAACTCCGGGATGAATCGAATGCTCCCTTTAAGCACCCGATTAAAGCATAAATCAACCAAAAAGGAAATTTCAGTCAATAGAAGCAAAATAGATGGGAAATTAAATCAGAACAAATGCTGGAATAAAAGATAACGGACGAAAGTGTTGAAACCCCCTTTCAATTGCTGGAATATGCCCGTAAAACGAAGACACGAAGTCTCTCCGCTCGTCCTTCTTTCCAGTACCCTCAGTGAGTCTCGGCTCTGTGGTGGTGAAGACCGGCGACCACAGTTCGTTGGCTACATTCTTCACGCCTCACAAACAATCGACCGAAGGTTTATCTGTGTATCGTGAAAAACAGAGAAGGAGAAACATAGGGAGAGAGCGTTTAGTCCGCAAGAATGAGAGAGGAGATAATTTAAAGCGTTTTTGATTCCTAAAATCAACGGTTCAGAAACTTCTTCATAAAACGATGTCGTTTTTATATTGAGCGACGTGGCCTTCTAATATTAAAGGAGACACGTGTCAAGAAAAGGGGACATATGCTTCCTTTTTGTAAATAAGAGTATAGATAGATAGATAGATATAGATAGATAGATAAATAGATACAGCCCGTCATAACTTTTCCATGTAACAAGGATTTGACTCTGTCTTTGTTATATGGTTTGGCTAGATCGCCATAGTTCCAATCTATATCAGCCGACTTTCTTTTAAGTTGCGAATCATTTCTCAGCCTCAATAGATGTCCGAATCACATGGAATACTTTTTGATGCCGAACTACTAGCGTTACCATTGAAAAAACTTAACAACAAAATAATGAAATAATACATAACCAAGGTTGTTGCAAGAAAATAATGAACATAAGTTTATACTATTTTTTTTTCTTTTTTCGAACGTTAAATTGTTACTAAGTTATTCTATTTGGAATTTATCGAACACATTGTCTACATTCTTATGTTTAACAATGACACACCATAATAGCATTATAGCAACCAAACAACACCACATTTCAGCAATTTCACACAATAAGATGCCAATAAATTTCATTAAATCCTAAAATTAAAAAAATCTAATTACATAATGTACAACTAAGTGAACTAACATAATGTCTAAAAATACGATATAAAAAAGTACTTGACTGAGTAGTTACTAAAGGGAGGGTCGAGTTCAGGTCCGACAGCGAGTCATGTCGGCGCGAGTCAGGTCGACTGCTTGAAACTTAAGAAGAAGGGCTGCGGTCGAGTTTTGTTTCTGAGTTCCTGTCCAAAAATGAAAAATTCCACACATTCCGTTTTTTGTTTCTTTTTATTTTTTATTTTTTTAAACTTTTGAACTAATACAAAACGACGTCATTTTGTCTTAGATACATACCGACGTCGTATTGTAATTAATAATAAATAAAATCATCCTGTGAAAATGGCGAAACGCCGAGCCCTGCCTGCTGCTGCCTAGTCTCGCCCAGCCGCCGAGAGCCACCTAGGCGGCGTCGAGCCCACCTGACCGATTTTTACGGTCGATTCGCCCAAATCGTATGCGGCGTTTCCGCGTCTAGGCCGATTTTCTGAACACTGCTCAAATAATTTTAATTAATCATTAATTTATGTCATCTCTCTCTCACTTTTACATCACACTAATTTTATTTATTTTAATATTAAATAAAAATCACACTAATAGCTAAATAACAAAAATTAACCCTAACTATTATTAACAAAAAAAACTCGTATCCAAGCAACACTAGTTGCCCTACAAAAATCACACATGTAGAATAGTGTACTTGCCGATCACCGACCCGATCCAACGAGGTCGCTGTAATGGCGATTTGTGGCTCGCTGTGCCCCTTCCCCACTCCTCTCTCTTCCCCTCGGAAGCCCCATCTCTCTAATCCTACATTGCCCCATCCCACCAGAGTTCGTTCCAAAAATGGCGGCCACTTGACGGCTGGCGAGGACCTGCCGCTGGACTACGAGAGTTGGCTCCCGAAACGCGACCTCAAAAACCGCAGGCGGGCGGGGATCCTCCTCCACCCGACGTCCTTCCCTGGGCCCTATGGCGTCGGCGATCTTGGTCCCCAGGCCTATCGGTTTCTCGACTGGCTTCATGACGCCGGCTGCTCCCTTTGGCAGGTTCGATGCTTGGGTTAATCAAGTGTCTTTGTTGTACATTTTGAACTTTGTGATCTCTGAAGTCTGTGTACTACTTGTTGTGAGAATGATTCTCGTACGCAATTTGTCCCTTTATATTTGCTTTCTCTTTGATTGATTACTTATCTGTGAAGCTTTTCTTTGTTTAGTGTACTTACATTGCACCCGTACTTAATCTGTTGGATTCCATGTCATTGCGGCACCTTTACTGAATTTCAGGTCGCGCTGAAGCATATCAGTTGGAAAGACTACTAATTTTTTCTTCTCTTTTTCCTTTCTTTATCTATATATATGTATATGTAAATATTTTTTTGGGTAAAGCTGAATATTAATGTTAAACAGATTACTTGGTTGCCAAAGTCGAACCTTTATGTTACTTTAAATTATAACCTTTTTACTACCATAAGTTATACAAAACCGTGGAGTTTAAGCAGTTATTTAACTTGAAGGAGCTCAAGTGTCCTGTGGAGTGTATTTATAAATCATCAATTTGATCAGTTTATGATAAAGAATTGATGTTTTTGCAGGTTCTTCCTCTTGTTCCTCCTGGGAGGAGGGCTGGTGAGGAGGGATCTCCCTACTCTGGACAGGTTGCTTTATTCTTTTCACGTCAATTTTATAGTTAGTTTGTTCCCGTTAGAATATTTGATTGAATCATATTTGAACCTTAAGGGGTAAAAGGTAAATAAGAAAGATACCAGTGAGAAAATTTAGATAGAATGTCAATTTGTGTTCTTCATACTAGTAACTTTGGTGGTTGCACTATTTCAGGATGCTAATTGTGGAAATACACTTTTGATTTCTCTCGAGGAACTTGTTGAAGATGGTCTGCTTTCTACGGAAGAGCTTCCAAAACCAGTGTAAGGAAACAGGCTGTGTTTGAGTGCATTACAGAGCATGAAGGTTAATGTAAAATTCATGCTTATAATATCATATTGCCATAATGCTTGCAGAGATATGGACCGTGTAAATTTCACAGCTGTTGCAGATGTCAAGGATCCATTGGTAGCTGAGGCAAGTATCATCATCATCATTCAGTTACTAATATGTGAAGATGCTTAGAATTATTTCTCTATGCTTATCCATTAACAATTCCAGTGATATTTCATGTTAACGTGTGCCTGAAAATTGATGTATCCTTTCATGAAATTCTGTTATATAAATGATTCTAATGACAAATGACCGAATAACTGAATGGAATCAACAATCTCATATCTTGACCGGCAGCATCTAATAAGTACACCAATGGTTCGTATACAAAGGAATTAAAGGAGTTTACTGTATTTGTTGTAGAGATGGGCTTCTTATTCACATAGTATGTAATTATTTTACCTTTTCATTTGTAGATAACTCCTTCAGAATTTATTAAGTTTTAGGTATGATAGATACCCTTACAGTAATGATTAAATTCTGTGACAAAAATGATTGGGTTATTCTTTCAAATCCAGTGTTGGGCTTAATACAGATTTGGATCATGACAAGTGCAAGATTCAAACTGTCATTTTAACTTTTTCTGTTAAGTATTTGAATAACAGATGCTTTGACCATGTTGTAAGATAACTTCTGTCGATTGTTGGTCTAGGCTGCAAAGAGGCTTATTCTAAGTGAGGGTGAGCTCAAGGATCAGTTTCAAGCGTTCCGTAAGAATCCAAATATTGCAGGTGAGATGTTTATGTTTCATTTCCTAACTAGTATACTCATCCTATAAAATTATTAACAGAATCTCTTCAAGAGGTTCTCAGTGGTAAATGACTAGGTTGTAAATGGCCTGATTCCAATATTTATTTGCCTAAGCTTTGAATTTATTCGTTCAAATATCTGGATGACCTGGTCGATTCCACAATAGATTTTTCATGATCTTGCTACTCTGCCGCTTGACGACGAATATTCTTAATGCACCTTACATAAGGTTATTTAGAACACAGATGTTATTACATGTAACACTCTAGAATTATATTTTCAAATGTATATTCATAAAGAAGTTCCTCCTGGAAGTCATTATTCATAAATTAACTTTACTAATCAAAATAAGCAAAACAGCAAAAGTGTAAAATGCCAAAATAATATTTTTAGTAAATGGCAACAAAAGAGTCACTTAGTGGGCTAAATCAAATTTAAAGGAGTAAAACACACTTGAAGAGAACTGAAACGGAGCATAAAAAATTAGTTAGTGTATGATTTCATCCACTAAAACTTGAAATAAATATTAAATTAGCTTTTAAATACAAATATTATTAATATGCATTTAATGATTCGGGGCAAGCGAAAAGCAAATTGGGGACTTAATGACCCATATAAACATAATGTAAAATTCGTTCACATGAAACACATGAGGCAGTTTCAGGTAGCTCTTTTGACAGAGTACTCCCTGCTTTATGCTGATTGTTTCCATACAGAAGGCTGCAGTTCTAGTCTTTTCCTTTGACATAGCAAAGCACCATGCTATACAATTGCATTTAAACGTTATGTAAAGACTAACATATAGGGACAAATATTTAAGAAGTAGAATCACAACCTTGTAATGCAAGTCTCCTGACAATTGCGCATCTCTTATAGAAATGAAAATTTAATTATGTTGCAGATTACTTTTGTTTTCTTTCTTCTCATCTCTTTCTGGACATATGACCTTCTGCCCCCTGCCCCCGGCTCCACTTTCTCTTTTTTATTTATTTTACACTTCTGAACTCTTCCCACATTTCTGTTTGAACACTTGTTAAAATGAGCCCCAACCACACAGTTGTATGTAAACTTCAAGAAAAACCCTTTTTACACATACTATTTACTGAATTTTGTTGGAAATACACCTTTTGTTCTGTCAGCATAAACACATGATGCTTAGGACAACACCTCGTACATGTCGTATTTATGCAGTTCATGTAAGAAAGCCTATCCAGTGCTGTAAACTATAAACTCCATTGTATAGGTTGGCTTGAAGATGCAGCTTATTTTGCTGCCATTGATGACACGCTGAGTACATTTAGTTGGTATGAGTGGCCTGAACCTTTGAAAAATTGCCATCTTGCTGCTCTGGAAGAAATTTATCATAGTAAAATGGAATTTGTAAGATCTATTGACCCTTTTCCCTGTTTTTAGAGTTACTCTCCGACCTTCTGTTGTTGGATTCTGGAAGATCTTATGATTGTAAAATTACTTTCACCCACAGATAGATGTTTTCACTGCTCAGCAATTCTTGTTCCAAAGGCAATGGCAGAAAGTTCGTGATTATGCCCGAACAAAGGGAATAAGTATAATGGGAGATATGCCTATTTATGTTGGCTATCACTCTGCTGATGTGTGGGCTAATAAGAAACAATTTTTGCTGGTGGGTTTCTTCCTATTATCAAATGCTTCTTTTGCTTATAGTTTTACTCAGTTTACACTTCATTGATGTTGCAGAATAGTAGCGGTTTTCCTCATCTAGTTAGTGGAGTCCCTCCCGATGCCTTCAGTGAAACTGGGCAGCTGTGGAACAGGTTAAATTTATTGTAGTGATCAATCACGCATGATTAATCCTCCCTTCAGTGCTTTGTTCACATTTATTGCTATTAAATCAAATAAACTCAACGTGTTTAAACAATGTGGAGAGAATTTTAACTTTTAAAGAAAATTTCCAACTTACAGCTATTTGGTTTTCTCAAACCAGCATCTTTACATGATTTGAGGATCGGAATTTGGATTTTTCGCTCTTATAAGAATTTATGTGGCGTAATCTGATATATAGCCTCTCCAAGTTACACAAGTGAGTGTGAGACAATCTTATGGATAATGCAAATTATGATAGTGAAGCATACTGGCCAAAAAGTAGCCATATATATTTAGGATACAGAAATCCTGTGACTGGCATAGTAGATAATTATATTTGTCCAACTTTAATTTAAAGTTATTCTGATTGATTAGGTAAAAATGAAAAGAAATATTGTTTCACGTAGATTAGTAGAGATGCTGAAATATTATAACTGAATGTGAAGACCATTTAGTAAGTTGTCTTGTTCCCTGTATGATATGTTGACTGAGCCTTTTGTTCCAAGAATAGCCCTTTATATGATTGGAAGGCCATGGAGAAAGATGGATTTTCTTGGTGGATACAACGTCTAAAACGTGCACAAAATTTATTTGACGAATTCCGGATTGATCACTTTAGAGGATTTGCTGGATTTTGGGCCGTTCCTTCTGGTAAGATGACCTTATATTAGACATTCTTATATGATTTTTATCTTTCTTTCTTATTCTCATCTTTATTTTATTTATTGGTGAACGATAATTTTTTTTGTGAATCTTATGTGCAGAAGCAAAAGTGGCAGTTGTAGGGCGATGGAAAGTAAGATTTATCTTGTATAGTTTTTGGCTATATAATTGACAAACAATTTCCAGAGGATTACTAAATGATGCTTTGATGGACAGTAGGTGGGGCCTGGAAAGTCTCTTTTTGATGCAATATTTAGAGCTGTTGGAGAGATCAATATCATAGCAGAAGATTTGGTACGTTCATTTAGATAACATCGTCGAAAGTTTAGAGTTTGGAAGGAAAACATTTTTTAGTGATAATGTATAGTAAGATAAGCCCTCTAGTAAGTATTTTGAAATATAACCTCAACTTCATTCATAATTTTTGTTGCCTGTTTGTACTGGACCTATAAGCAAAGGAAATAATCTTGACATTTCTCATCTGAAACTTTTGGCCTCATGTGATGCATTATTTTATGAGGGCAATCTAGTCCTGACTTTTAATCAGGTAGTCATCTCCTAATTTCTCACATTGTTTATACTGCTAAAACAGGGAGTAATAACAGAAGACGTGGTACAGCTTCGGAGGTCCATTGGGGCACCTGGGATGGCAGTTCTCCAGTTTGGTAATTCATTGCTGCCTTCTTGTTATCTTTCTTTCATATAAATAAGAGTAATGCTATAGGTACATAATAATGTACATAAAGGTGTACATAACACTCACATTGAGTGGGTCCTACCAAAAATAAAAAAATTAAGTGGACCCCACTCCATGTGAGTGTTATGTACACCTCTATGTACATTTATTATGTACTTGTAGCATTTTTCTATAAAAATATATGTTCCTTTTACGTCTGTCTATGAGTAAGCGAGCTTCTGAGCATCTACAAAGATTTCTCAATCTCTCTTCATTGCTGTTTTGGATTTTGTGCAGGCTTTGGTAGTGACGCAGAAAATCCACATTTGCCCCATAATCATGAGATGAATCAGGTGGTCTACACGGGAACTCATGACAATGACACGGTATTTCTTATGTGCTTTGACATTCTATGTTTATCTAGACATGTGTCAGTCCATCTACCCGACATCATTGTTAAAAGACTTAAAAGTGCGTCTGAGCTTACTTTTTTTTCGCCAAAAAAAAAAGAAAATATTTCTAATATTATAGCAACTTGTCATTATCATCATGATGTTGATATACTTTTGGTATCATTTCCTTTTTGTCTTATTTATTTGTTTTATTTGGTTGGTGGAAGTGAATGCTAATTGCTAATTTACCTATACTAACAAATTTGATTCTCAGATTCGAGGATGGTGGGACATATTGCCACAGGAAGAGAAATCTAATGTGAGTAATGATATAATCTACCTCTGACAGGAAGTTCTTGAAAGTAGGTAATACTGGAAGCTGAATTCTCTTCAACTAAAGCCTTGTCCTCATATACTCGGATTTTCTGTTTCAGGTGGTAAAATATATTGGTAACATTGTTGAGGATGATATATCGTGGGGCCTAATCCAGGCTGCCCTTTCTTCAGTAGCACAAACCACTATAATCCCCATGCAGGATGTACTTGCATTGGGAAGTTCAGCTAGAATGAATGTCCCCGCAACTCAGGTAAGATAGCTTTGCATGCATTTGCATATATGGTAATGTCAAGCAATGTAGCCATCTAATCTACTCGTTCTAAAAAAATTCTTTTAATTGTATATGCTATAAAAATGGAAAAAAAAAGAAGAAAAACTTGGTATATCAGAAGCAATAGGGTGACCTAATATGTGCTGGTCTTTACAGCTATGTCCTTTTCTCTTCCAATGTGAACTTTTGGGGTTGCAAAGTGGGTTTGTATTGAATCTTCAGAGAAAAGGCTTAAGTCTAATTACACGACTTTTGGGAGCCATGTCTTAGAAAATGGAATGCACATTTTTTCTTTTATGTACCTAAACTTACATAATTTCATTGTACGTTCTTGCAGTACGGAAACTGGAGTTGGAGAATACCCAAATCGACGTCATTTGACAGCTTAACCTCTGAAGCAAAGAAACTAAGAGATATGCTTGCTATGTATGGTCGGCTATAAAAGTTTGGGAAAATTAAGTGAATTCACTCAGATATTTACCATGCTGTTGGTCCTTAGGCCCGTCTAAAATAACAGTAACATATGAAACGATCAATGAATGGCATTCTTGTCCAGTGACGACTTAATAAGCTGTGAAAATTTAGTAATTTGATCAGAATCCAACTTCTTGGATGCCTTTGCATGGAATAAGAAATCATTAATATAAATTTATTGTATGTTATGTGATTTCTAGAGCTGTATAAGGATGAAGCTGTAGTAACCTGTTATTTGTGTTAGTCTGGTGGCTCCAGCTTTCAAGTGTTGTAATATTAAGATTATATATAAAAATACAGGCATATATAATAAGGCCCTAAACAATGTATTTGTTGGTACAAATTACCCTTGTGTATGGAAAGAGGTTCACATACACCCTTGATGTTTGCAATTTAAGATCTGCTGGTGGATTGTATTTGTATATCTTTCGCCATCTCAGCAGTTGGTGGTGGATTTATTATCCAACCCCGGACTAGGCTCTCATCTTTTTGTTTAGTTGTTGTTGTTGTCTTTTTTTTACTTGGTTGTTTTCGTTTGTTTAATTTTTTGTATCTTGGATGTTGGACTTGTGACTATTCAGCCCATTTAAGGCCTTTTTTTATATACAGGTTGACAATCTTGACTATTAACTNAAGGCGATATGTAAGATCTGTTGATGATCATTCAGCACCATGAAATTAGTTTCCTCTAGCTGCAATAATGTTAATTCACATTTGTGGAGAAAAAAAGTTAAAATTCTGGCTGCATCTACCACTCTTATCATATAAGAGATTGCATGCATGGTTTTTAAATAGAAAAGGAGTACGATTGTTTTCTTGCTGAATCTTTTTGTCGTGTCTCATTGTCAATTCATCTTGATTGTCCATGCGGCTAGTTTATATGTAAAGTATCTTTTTTTTTAAGAAAAAAAAAATAAAAAATTGTTGGAGCTATATTGATGTTATTGTTTCATGCAATTTTCCTCAATCTCGCAACTTAGAAATATTTGATTCTACTCCTAGCGTAGGCCTGGAAAATAGAGACTTTGCTGAACTATCTTGCGAATGTGGAGCTTCATTTCATGAAAAGTTTATATCTATAAATTTTAATGTCATAAATATTTATTATATAAATATATAATAACAATTTTTTATTCTTTATAATTTTTTTTTTTTAAAAAAGAAATGTAAAATAAATGGTTGTTGTGCCAACTAGGTTGACCCTACCAGATTAATGCTCGAGTTGACTAAGTCATAGCTGGGCTGACTGGGTTGACTGTAAAGCGAATCAACCCATCGGGCCGGAGCGAATCACAACACTATGTTTTAGATTGGGTAATGAGGAAATGATACAATGAAATTTTTTGGCTGAAAATGAGGACATATGATTATATTTGGAAGATGGAAAGCATTGCATTTGCTTTTTCCCATGGACTCTTAGTTCATATATCCAAGATGAATAATGTGTTATCCTCTAGATATGAGATACTAAATATTAAAATGTTCCGTCATGCTTGAAATCCTTCTTCATCAAGCAATACAATTTACAGTTGCAGTAGTAAGTGTGTGATTGGATATGGATTTAACTGGTTTTTGATTGATTTTTTTTTTAATCATGGTTAAATTTAAGAAAAGGTGGTATAGTTAGTAGTTAGTGAGAATATTTTAAGTTTAAATTAAAATATTACTTAAAATAAAATAATTAAAGTTAACTTGAGTTAAAAGTAGAAGAAAAATGACAGATAATTATGGTTATTTAAAATTATGTGAGTTGATGGATAGTAAATTAAAGTTGATGTGATGTATAAGAATGATTGTTTGATATTATTTAATTATATTAATAATATTGAGGATAATTGTGTTGGGTTAAAATTAAGTTAAATTTGAGTTTTGATTGATTTTTTCTCGTTGAGTTTATAACCGATCACACCATGCCTTGTGGCGTCATAAGGTCAAACACATGCTACTTGTTCCATTTGAATTTAAAAGTCAAGTCTTCACTTGTGAAAAATGATACAATAAACTCAAGACTTCACTAAATTAAAGAAAACAACAACACATGCTTTTNATGGGTTGGGAGTAGAGACAAAACCCATGTGGTCTTAGGGGAGCCTGAGCTTCTACCACTTAAAGTCACACTAGTTCACAACATGAATGCCTCTTAATCAATGCCACTAAAATGTTGATTAAAGACTATCATGTTGCTCTACCCCTTCCCCACCAAAGTGAGAAAAAAAAAGAAAAAAAAAAAGAACAAGGAAAATAACACAACACAAAAGGGAAAGCTAGTTAAAATGTGAAGACTTGTTTTCTTGTTCCTACATCCATATAGCATTTGCCTTCATGAGCAATGGCTTGAGCTTACCCTTGACATTGAGGCTCATGATCTCATTAGAACCACCAATGAACTCTTGCCCTATGAACACGGCCGGTACACTTGGATTGCACCCTAATGACATCAATGCCTTCTCCATTTGTCGTCCGTAGGGGACATTGTCGAGCTCGTAAACCACTGGATTTGCCCCAAAACCGCGTATTAACATGACTATTGCATATGACATGCAACAACTGGTTTTGCTAAATACTACCACCGGATTTCCGGCCCCTAATTCCATCACGTACTTCTCCATTTCAAAATATCCAAAGCTAAAAGAATACAAGAAGTTTATTGAAAAACAAATGTATGTTAAATGTTACTTTGTAGTGTGTGGAGTGAAGTAGAAATTGAGTTTGTTTAAGCTCTATATATAGAGTGATGAGAGTGATGGCCCGAAAGTCACGCATGAATAAAATGTTGAAAACAAGAAGTTTGATAAAAGATTAAAAAAAAAAAAAAACAAAGGCATATAAATTTTCACTTTTCATGACATGTGGTGGTAGTGTTTTTCTTGATTATGGGATTTGAGTATATTGAGATACATATATTTTCAAAAGGTGACCTCATTTTTAAATCCTCCTATTAGGTACGTATCACTTCGGACACAAAGATCTTGGTTGTGATATTGAGATACATATATTTTCAAGGGCTTGAAAGTTTCAACGTAATTAGTATGTATTTCTTTGATGAGAATCATGTGTCTTGGACTTAGTTTAATAATTAAAAAAAGAAAAGGAAAAGTGTGTTAGTTAAACTAAATCAGTTTGTCATAAACTTTTCCAACAAAAGATTTGAATTTCTGAACAAAAAGAAACACAATTAATGCACCTTACAAATAATTAAGCGCATGATTGTGAGTGTTAAGGTTGTCTTGTGGGATGCAATAACAAAGGATTCAATAACAAATGTAAATGTCATAAACCTCAATAACTCATGATTATTTTTTGGCCATATTTAACGAGATTATATTGCGTATATTTGGAAAATTATATTGTCGATCCCAAAGGTGAAATGTCAAATATAATAATAATTATTATTATATTGCGTATATTTGGAAAATTATATTGTCGATCCCAAAGGTGAAATGTCAAATATAATAATAATTATAATAATAATAATAATAATAATAATAATAATAATAATAATAATAATAATAATAATAATAAGGATGCCCGAGTTATTACTAAGTTGATATAACATGATTAATGGAATTATGAATAGTTAGTCCCCGGTATTAGGGTTTTTCTCCTCTTGGAGTTCCAGTTCCTTCTTGGGATCCTATGTTTTTCGTTCTCGTTTGAGTGTGTTTCCTTTATCCTCTAGTGTTTTAGGTCTCGTGTGGGTGTGTCGCTTTTGTCATCTAGTGTTCTAGGTCTCGAGTGTTAATTTCTTTACGTCTTTTGTTTCTTTGTTTGTGCAGTGGTTGCGAGTTAGCTTCTGATAGAAGTGGTGTGTTTCCATTAGAGGTGATCTGGTCGAGATCTATGGTGATGTAGGACGTGGTAGACGAAAGGGAAGATATGAGAAGAATTCACGTAAAAATCAATAATGATCTTATTCAAAATCAATCGTCCTGCTCAAACTGATAGCAAACAATATATATAAGACTCCTAGTATCTTATTACTGTTTATCTTGTTTAACAAGATAATTATTTGAAGTACCAATATTACTTAAGTAACTAGAAAACTAAATGAAGAGATAAATAATATGCAAGAACTAAATTACTAACTACGAGCCGGTCATAGTTTTTCAAGAATGCCATCGCGGTCTCATCTCCATCATCCTCCCTCGGTTGGGAAGGATTCGACTGTGAATCCGAACCGGTCTCGTCTCCGTCCGAGTTGTCACCAGTGAAAAGCACAAGATGTTTGACGTTGAAAACGTCAGAAGTATGAATATGCGAAGGAAGTCGGACGCGATAAGCATTCGGGTTGATCTTCTCAACCACCTCGACCGGGCCAATCTTACAGGCAGACAACTTGTTGTACTCATGGGTCGAGAACCTATCCTTAGTGAGGACCGCCCAAACGAAGTCGCCGACATCAAACTTGAAATGCAGCCGCCTCGCGTCTGTCTGCCGCTTGTAGGACGCGGTGGACTCCTCCGAACGACCAGGCCGTCGCATGGCCCGCCTGCAAATCGGCGATAATGTCCGCCGCCCGTCTATCATCCGCTGGCCGCGACGGCAAGGACAACAAATCGGACGGGCCCCTCGGCTGCATCCCATAGACCGTCTGAAATGGCGAAAAACCCGTGGCCCGGCTAACGGCCGAATTATGTGCAAATTCTGCCTGGCTCAGCTGCTGGTCCCAACTATGGAGGTGATCGCCAACCAAACAACGAAGTAAGTTCCCCAACGAGCGATTCACAACCACCGTCTGCCCGTCAGTCTGTGGATGATACGAGCTGCTAAATCCAGACGGGTATTCGCTATGCCCCATAAACTACGCCAGAAGTGACTTAAGAACCGAGTATCGCGATCCGAGACAATGGAGGAAGGAAGGCCATGCAAGTGATATATCTCTCAAAAAAATAACTTAGCCACGAGAACAACATCGGTGGTGCGCTTGCATGGAGTGAAATGAACCATCTTCGAAAAACGATCCACCACGGCAAAAATGGAATCAAAACCCCCTGGGTACGTGGCAAACCCAAGAAGAAATCCATACTAATAGCAAGCTACGGCTTAAACGGAATAGGAAGAGGGCGATACAAGTCGGAATTGGTCGCGACTCCCTTCGAAACTTGGCAAACCCGACAGCGACCCACAAACCGTGCTATGTCACGCCGAAGGGATGGCCAGAAATACGAGCGGCCCACCAACTCGACCGAGCGGTCACGGTCGACATGGCCGGCCCCATGAAGCTCGGCAATGAGCTTATGCCGCAGGCTATAGTCCGGCACACATAAACGAACCCCGCGAAACAGGAACCCATCAGATAAAGCATAGTCCTCAAAAGGACCATCCGCCAAACGTCGCATTATAGGCCCGAAAAAAGGGTCGTCCGAATAAACATCACGAAGCAGCTCAAACTCGACCACGGATATGCGCATATCAGTCAATAGTAGCGCGCGGCGACTCAGGGCATCGGCCACCCTGTTCGACGTCCCGGAACGATGCTTCAGCACGAACGTGAATTGCTGCAGAAAGGCCGTCAACGCAGCATGCCTCGCCGAAATATTATCCTGTGATGCTAAATGACGGAGGGCCTCATGATCTGTGTAAAGGATAAATTCCCTGTAGAAAAGATTGTGGCGCCAATGACGCACCGCACGAACCACAACATAAAACTCTACATCAAATGTACTGTATCTTGAACGAAGGCCCAACAACTTCTCGCTGAAGAAAGAAACAGGACGACCATCCTGACTAAGCACGACACCAATCCCCACCTTTGAGACATCACACAATAGCTCGAAAGGACGTAAAAAATCTGGGAGAACCAACACAGGGGCCGAAGTGAGCTTGCTCTTGATGAGAGCGAACGCGTCCTCGGCAGCCAACGTCCATGTAAACACTTTACCAGTGAGACAGTCAGTAATCGGGGCCGTTAGTGAACTGAAATGAGAAATAAAACGGCGATAAAAGGAAGCAACTCCATGAAAGCTACGGGCTTTGGTAAAAGAAGTAGGTGTCGGCCAATCCCTAATAGTCGCCACCTTGCTATCGTCCATCCGAATCTCGTCGGCCGAGATCACAAAGCCCAAGAAAAGAACCGAATTGACCATAAACAAGCATTTTCGCGGTGCCACAAAAAAGAACTCAGCACGCAAAATAAGCAACACCGAACGAACATGCTGCAAGTGCTCCTCAACCGTACGGCTATAGATAAGAATATCATCGACATAAACGACAACAAAATTACCTATCAATTCACGAAGTGTCTGATTCATGACCCTCATGAAAGTGCTGGTGCATAAGACAGGCCGAACGGCATCACCATCCACTCAAATAAACCCTCCCGAATCTTAAATGCTGTCTTTCACTCATCACCCGGGCGGATCTGAATTTGGTGATACCCACTGCGAAGATCCAATTCGTGAAGACGGTCGCGCCGTGAAACTGATCTAACAAGTCGTTTGAGCGAGGAATCGGGAACCGATAACGGACCGTGATCTTGTTGATCTCCCGACTATCAACACACATGCGCCATGAATCGTCCTTCTTGGGAATGAGAAGTGCCAGAACTGCACACGGATTCAAACTCCGTTGCACTACCCCACGCTGGAGGAGGTCCTCAACCTGCCGTCGCAACTCCTGGTGCTCCCGCAGGCTCATCCGATAGTGTGGTCTGTTAGGCAGGGAGGCCCCCGACGTCAAATCAATATGAGTTGTATGTCCCGCAAAGGCGGCAAGTCAGCTGGGATCTCCTCAGGAAAGACATCAGAAAACTCGCTCAACAGGGACTTGATGGCAGCCAGTGGATCCTTGTCGCCACCGGGCTCGAAACCGAACAACAGCAACACGATCGACGACTATCGCATTTCTTTCTCAAAGGCCGAACGAAAGAGGAAAAGAACAGGCGACGTTGCAGACGGCAGTAATGGTCGGGGTGGCCCTGGGTGTAACACTACCTTCACACCTCCAGAAAGAAAACTGTAGGTATTCTGCCGGCCGTCATGTGTAGCGTTCCGGTCAATTTTCCACGGACGCCCCAAAAGCAAATGATAAGCATCCATTGGCACCACATTGCACCATATTTGATCTCGATACCTCGGCCCAATAGATAAAGAAACCAAAACTCGTCGATCCACCGTGACCGCCGAACCTTTCTGGATCCAGACAAGAGTATATGGCTGAGGATGAGGTATCGTCGAAAGCCCAAGCTTGTCCACTGCCTCCTGTGCGAAGGCGTTCTCACACGACCCAGAGTCAATAATAAATCGGCACATACGATCACCCACGGTGCATGTAGACTCAAAAATGTGATGGCGCTCCACTGGCTCATTGAAGAAATCCCGAGGTGCCAAACATGAACGATGAATAACAAACGCCCTCCTGATGTCACCCGTGAGATGTTCCTCGACGACCTTTGACTCTTCGTTGAAGACCGGTGGTCCGTCGTAAGCTCCAGCCGCTCCAAATGCCTTGTTGAACAAATTTCGTGAAGTCGAACCCTTCGGATACGCCGACTGCCGGTAGCCGACCTCACCGCACCCGAAGCAGCGCAGCCTGCCGGCCGCACGTTGACCCGCCGAACCTCCAGCGGTCGTGGTGTTGCTGCCCAGGCCCAAATTCGCAGCCCGATTCGTCCCCTGGCCCGTGTTTGAAGAACCTGCCAATGGCCCAGGCCCAAACAAGCGGCCTGCAGCCGTAGGTGAAGAACCAAGCCCTCCTCGCGATCCCGACAGAAAACTCGAGGACCGCCTCGCTTGTTGTTGTTCCACCATGACGGCCCGTTGATGAGCATCCGACACCGAATCTGGAATAAACATGTTCACTATCTCTTGAATCGAAACTCGTAAACCACTAATATAACGAGACACCAATTGAGCCGTGGTCTCACGAATATCAATGCGTGTGAGGAGCTTATAGAATTCCTCCGTGTATTTGTCAACTATACGCGAACCTTGCCGTAAGATCTGGAATTTATGATAAATAAGGCTGGTATAATTAAAAGGCAAAAATTCACGTTCGATATGCTTACGGAATTTTGCCCAAGATGTAATCTTCGGTTTACCCATATGATGCCGCATTCATTTTAACTGCAAGAACCAGGCCGCAACCCTTCCCCGAAGCCGTGTCACGATAAACCCCACCCGCCCATCATGGGGCATTTCCTTGAAGTCGAGAATCGACTCCACTGCAACGAGCCAATCGAGAAACTCCACGGCGTCGAGCCCGCCCGAGAATTCCGACACCTCAATCTAAAAGCTCGACTCCCAGTGATTGTCGCCGCCCTCTGTCGCGCAACGCTGTCCGAGGGGTCATCCCTAGCCATCGTCGTCCCGGTATTCTGAACGTTGCTCGCCATGGTCGTCGTCTCGTTCCTCCCGTCGAACACCAAAATGGTTGCCATCCAACAGGGTCTCCTCGCCGTCATCCAGGCCGTGCGTCGATCGTGGTGAACATGTTCGGGGCGCCCCTAACGGCCCTCTGTCGCCACGGCCTCTGCGAAACCCGCCGCGACCACCCCGGCCTGTGGTGTCGCGGTTCATCTGCTCGCCGTTCATCATGGTTCGGATGGCAAGTCGGATTTCGTCGATCCCCTCAGAAAGACCTTCTACATGTCGGTCCACTCGCTCGATTTGGAACCCTATATCGTTGGTTCGGAGATCCAAATCTTCGAGATGGGCATCCCGTCGTTCGTTGTCGTTTCGTTTTGGCGGCATCTTGAATCGTCCCGACAGCTGATACCAACTGATGTAGGCATGGTAGACGAAAGGGAAGATATGAGAATAACTCACGTAAAAATCAATAATCTTATTCAAAATCAATCGTCCTGCTCAAACTGATAGCAAACAATATATATCAGACTCCTACTATCCTATTACTGTTTATCTTGTTTAACAAGATAATTATTTAAAATACCAATATTAGTTAAATAACTAAAAAACTAAATAAAGAGATAAATAATATGCAGGAACTAAATTACTAAATACGAAGCCGGTCATATTTTTTCAAGAATGCCATCGCGGTCTCGTCTCCATTATATGGTGTGCAGGAGAAGGTGAAAGAAAGATTGAGAAGGAGGTGTTAGATAAATTGCAAAAATCTAAGTTATCAGAGAAAGAGGAATTAGGGATTCAATTGCTAGAGGAAGATGTTGCAATAATGGTGCAGGGATGCAAGAACAACCTAATTGGGAAATGTTTTGGGAGAAAAAAAAGTGAACTTCAACGGGCTGAAAACGACACTATCAAGAATCTGGAATACAAGGCAAAGCTTCACGGTCAGAAATTTGGGAAATAACGTGTTACAATTTGTGTTTTAGAATGAGGAAGATAAAAACAAAACTTTGGCTAGGAAGATGTGGATATTTGACGGCCAATACATACTGTTGAAAGTTTGGAGCCAGGAAGGTATTGAGTTCACCGCAGAAGAAGAAAAGGTCAAATTATGGGTGCAAATCCATCAACTGCCTCTTCATTGGATTGCTCCAGAACCATGACTCAAAATAGAGAGGATTCTTCGAAAAGTTCTTGATGTATTTGTGCCAGGCAATGGGAGCAATGCTGGGAATATGCTGAAAGTGCTTGTGGAAGTAAATTTAAGAGAACCATTATTGAGAGGAACGTTCATAACTCTAGGGAAAGACAAGAAGTGGGTCGACTTCAGCTATGAAAACTTGCAAAATTTATGCTTTTATTGTGGTCTGTTTGGACATGGTGAAAGAAAATATCAATTGAAAAAAAAATGATGTTTCTGGTAATGTGCTTAGGATAGGTCAATTTGAAGAGTGGTTGAGAGCTCAGAGCACCAGTTATTCTGATCCTATAATGTCTTGGTCTAACCCAGGCTTTAGTATTCTTACTGAAAATAACTCTCCAATGTCACCTAACCTTGAGAGTGGAAAAAGACTATTAGGGAAAACAACAACATTAATAAAGGTAGTGAGGAGGTTGAGTTAACTAGGGTAGATGTGTTAGGAAGTGAGGAGGGACAAGGGAGTAGGATACAATCTGAAAAATTAGAGAGTACTAGACAACTTAATCTCAATCCTATACTTGTGCAAACTGAAATGGAGACTGGGAATACTAGACAACTTAATCTCAATCCTATACTTGAGCAAACTGAAATGGAGATTGGGAATACTTCTTCACAATTGGTGGATGTTAATGTCCAAAATGGTACTATAGGAGAGAGGTTGGTTCAAAGCAGGAAAAAGGTTAACTTAAGGAAACCAAGACTCGGCCTGAGGGTAGTCAATAAAAAGATGTTAATTGATAATACTATTTAAGAGGTTAGTGAACCTGCTGAGTTAAAAAGAGGTTGTAAAAGAAACTTTTATGAAATTTGTGAGGATGACTTAGATGTGGCTGTTTAGGAAAATCAGACAAAAAAGGAAAAAAATTCTGAAAACTTGTGATTTATGAGGTGGAGGAAACCAACCCTAATGTTCCGGGGAGGAAAATCTTAGATAATGTGGTCATAACTAATGAGTGTATACATTTTTTAAATGGAAAAAGAAGGGGCAGGATTAGCTATATGACAATCAAGGTAGATATGGCCAAAGCCTATGACAGGGTAGAGTGGGCCTTCCTTGTAAGAATCATTAGAAGGATGGGATTTCATGATAAGTTTGTGCATTGGACTTTCATTTATATCAGCACTACCTCACTCTCATTCAACATTGCTGGCTATCCTATGGGGTATCTGAAACCTTCTAAGGGATTAAGGCAAGGGGATCCTTTTTCCCCTTACCTTTTTATCCTTCTATCTGAGGCTTTTTCCAATTTATTGAACCAAGCTTGCAGAACATCTTTATTTCAAGGTATTAAAATCACTGTCAATTCCACCGCTGTTTCACACCTTTATTTTGCCGATGATGTAATCCTATTCTGTACGGCAGACCACACTCATGCTTATTCTATTCTGAATATCCTCGAGGAATATGTTTCTGCATCTGGTCAACTTGTGAACTTAATCAAATCTTCCATATTTTTCTCCAAAAATACTAAGGCTGAGTCCAAACTTGAAATCTCTAGGATTCTTAATGAAATTTCCAGTGTGAGATACTCCAAAGACTTGGAACTCCCTTTTAGGGATTGGTTGCTCAAAGAAAGATACTTTCAAATTCATTGCTGAGAGTGTTAAAAAAAAGTGTCTAGTTGGAAAAATTCTATTGAGTGAGGCTGGTAAGGAGGTCTTAATCAAGACTATTTTGGAAGCTCTCCGTACCTGTTTCATGTCTTATTTTAATATTCCTTCTGTAATTTGGGTTGAGGTGTATAGAGAGATAGCAAGATTCTGGTGGAGAAGGGGGGAATCTTGGGGCAATATAATTTATTGGATTGATTGGAATTCCATAGCTAAACCTAAAAGCAATGGGGGTATAAGATTTAGGGACTTCAAAATCTTCAATAAAGCCCCCCTAGATAAACAGCTTTGGAGAATCTTAACTATGCCTAATCTGTTAATGAGCAAACTTCTGAAGGGCAAATATTTTTTCAATCAGAATTTATGGAGTGTGCACAAAAAGGCTATACACTGTCAGCTCGTGTCATCAGATATCATGATGGAGGGTTGCAACCAAAGAATGGAGCAGGTACTAGCAACATGTTGGGAGGAGAACGGAAAATGTAAAGAATCACCTGGAAGTTGCCTATCACAAACAAGATCAAGAACTTTCTTTGGAGATGCTGGTTTGGTTTCTTAAGCTCAAACTTGAATCTGATAAAGGAAGGGGTGGGAGTGGAGAGCATTTGCAAGAGCTGTGGTGAGAAGGATGAAGATGTAGATCATATATTGTTCAATTGTAAGATTGTAACACCCCGCTCATCAGAGTAAATTTTTTGCAACTTTTACTCCGAAAATACTTATAAATCTTTCGAAATCTTTTGCGACTAACTCGGGATGCTACTCAAACTCATCTTCTTGAAAATCTATTTATCTTTTAACTTTTGTCTAATATTTCTTTAGACATAAAGAAAACAGATTTCCTTTAAACTTGCATTTAACTGTACCATATTCATACTTCTCGAAATGGTAAAAACTTGAAATCTGAAATGCAAGTTCAATACTTAATGTGCATAGCGGAAATACTTAAAAACGTAGTTTATTATACAGAAAGATCAAATACTTAATAAATATCCACTTGAAATAAGTGCACGACCACCACCACCACCGCTCAGCTCACACCTCCGTCCCGACCCTGTTATCTGAAAAACACAATGGGGGTGAGTACTGATCCTCTTGTACCCCGAAAAACACCCATACTAAAGTAAACAGCAATAATAATAATACAATATCATGATCTTTGGTATATATCTGGACTAGAAATCTATTCCAATAACTTAAACTGAATCTGGCCGATATCTGATCGGATACTTGTGCACAATCTGATGGATATTTCTCAAGGCAACTCAAACGGCCTCCATCAGAACTTAGGATATACTCTGAGACAATTGAATGCCTCCTCATCCCAAGCGTATAAACTTAAACTGTATACATACCTCGAACATGATATCAATATTATACTCAAATGTAATACCCAGTCGGGTCCCCACCTTTCTTCTTTTGAAAAATTTTGAAAAATGTAAGTGTTGCTCTTGGGTAGCTATATCTGCAAGCTACATAAAAATATAAACAAATATACTAAGTACTATGCTCGTATACTCAATAAGATTTAACTCTTACTTATCCTAATCTGAAAGATATTCAATAAGCTTAATATGTCTCAAATAAATATTAAGTCATCAAACATCTTAACTTTTTCTTAAACTTTTACTCAAGGTTAATTACTTAACCTTATATAAATCATATCTTCAAAATCATAGATATTGGTTTATACTCGCATGTCACTTAAATAACTCGAATGTGAAAATAACTAAATTTCACATTAAACTTGATTGAGTACTTAAACTCAAAACATGCTTAACTTTTTCCAACATCATCAACATGATTTATAAACTCATCTTGATCTTTTACTCAATCAAATACTTAATTCATCATACATCATATCTCCCAAATTTTAAATATTAGCTTATATTAAATTTTCACTTAATTAACTTGAAAGTGAAAATAAACTCAAGTCATACTTCAACTTTTAATCATAACATTTAATCATGATATTAATATGTCATACTTAATACAATCTTTATGAGATTATATACTCAACATATTAAACTAAAACTTTGCCAAATTTCTCATCACATATATGAGAATTGATCATAATAATCTCACTTTAATAACTTGATCATATCATGAATATTCTTGCATATATACTCATCTTTACATATATGCCTTGAATTATCATAAGTCATTCATTTCTCATCTTCAAATCGTGAAATTTAACAGTCATAATCTCAACTCATAATTAGACATGTCATAAAAATTTCATCAAGTTATTAGAATTTAAAGTCTTAGTGAACATAAAATTCATCTTGCATGTTCAACTTCAAAAATTCATAACTCAAGTTATACTTTACCAAATCACTTAATTCTTGTTCTCATGTACTCCTCTTTTACATAAGAATCATTCATTTAAATTATACTTTTCCAGCTTATTCATATCTTTATCAACATCTCATCTGATCAAACACATATATCATATAATTGATCTTGAACAACTTTAACTCTTTGTATTCATAGAATCAATTATAAATTTAACTTCTAAATCATGATATACTTACTTATAAACATGTAAACTCATTATCAAAACAGGAACGTAAGCATAAAACTTTAAGATAAGTAAATTACCTCCTTCTTGCTAGAATCGTAACTTAATTGTTCACTTCTAAATTCTTCACTTCTTCACAATTTCTATTACTTATCTCTCTTACACTCATATATATTTTTTGGTACTTTTTTTTGGTGTGAGAACTCTGATTTTTAGGCCTCTATTTATAGGCACAATTTGGCAAGACATCATAATGGAGTGAAGAAATGAACAAAATAAACAATTTAAACTTATAAACTTAATTAATCATAAACTATTTTATGATTAACTTGTATTCTTATCCAAACATAATTAATCATAAAAAATGGCCTCTATCTATAGCCATAAATGAGATTTTTGGTAGATAAAACTTATTCCACCAAGTTTAATAAAATTCTCATCAATTGTTGAAAAACAATGCTAACTTAAAGACTTAACAAAACTTTGTTGTGATTTTCTCATCTCATTCTCACCAATTGATGACCAAAATTTCGTGCTTAATGTGATGTAATTGATTCCATATATTATTGAAAAAATGTCACCATTCATCATATAAAAACTTTGGAACAAAATAATAAAAATAATAAAAATCATCCTTTTTTTTTTATTACTTATGCAGTTTCTATCAAAATGGATGATTTTTTAAACTCTTTTACTGAAAAGTAATGCTCATATATGGTCTTGGATCATGCTAATAAACCGAGAATAATACAATTTACGGAACTCAATTCGGACTTAAAACGAACGTTTACCGTAAAACTGGAAATTCTAAAATTTAAATCCTTTACTCACAGTTTTTCTTCAATTTAATAAACATATTGCTTCTTAGGATCTAATATAATTATCTTGAAATATTCTACATTTACGGAACCACATTTGAACTTAAACCGAACGATTACCGTAAAACCGAAAATTCTAAAAGTTTCGGTTTCTCTTAAAATAATTTAAATAGACTATAATGTCTAAATAAATTTTCTCACTTCTTTGAACATTTATCACTTAAATGTTCATGGATACTTAACCGCACTTCGAGACTTAACTTGTATCAACTTATGCTAAAGCTCAATATTATGATCTTATCTTGATGACTTGAACACTTAGAAAAATTCTAAGTATTTAGTACTAAGGCTCGGCTATTTCTTAATTAAGTTCAACTCATGACCGAACATACTTGAGTTCAGTTCACTACTTATCTTAAACGATTAATCAAAATATACCAAATTTTGATTATTCGTTATCTTATATTAATTAATCACGTCTTATACATCCATTTATAAAAATAAACAGACCGGAATTAATTAATTACTGAACTGGCTGGATTACTGAATAAAATTTAACCGAGAATACTTTCGACTTAAAGTCGAAATTTTAAATGAATAACTTAATAACTGGATCGGAACTAGGAACGAACATTATTAATAAAAGTAATTAGTTCAACTTAGAATAATTACTTTTATTAATTACTGAATGGGATATTACCGCAATATTGTGCTGGAACCTGTCAGGTATATCTTTTGCCATGATAGAAGGTAAAAATACGCTCTTTCAAATTGTGGTGGCTGGAAGTGACTAACACCTTGAAGCCCAAAGCCATTATGGATAGACTTAGTTTATCTTCATATATCTTATGGTGGCTTTGGAGAATAAGAAATTGCTGGATTTTATAGAGCAAATGGATGGAAGAAGCTGAAGTCAGAGCTATGGCAAAATCTGAATGGTTGGAGTTCAACCACATAACCAATGCAACAGAAGCTGAGATCCTTGGAAAAAACAAGAGGTGTCTTTCTACTGATGAACAATTTTTCCAGAAGGTAGGACAGGTTGAGCTTAATGTCAGTGCCTTAAGCACATCAAGTGGACAAACACTCCTGGATGGTATAGCAAAGGAAGATGGTATTGTGATGAAAAGATGGTCAGGTTTCATTACCCATAGGCAAGACCCGGTTGACGAAGAACTAGACGAAATCTTATGGTTACTGAAATCTGCAGCTGGGGATGGTTGGAAAAGCTGGGTATGAAGGATTGAACTTCAAGAGGTGGTCAGTCTTCTCAATAAAATGAGTTTAGTGGGAGAAGATAGGAAACAGATGATCGAGAAAGTGTTGTCTGCAGGTGTTGCTTTAGGTTCTTGCTGGTTTGTGAGTAAGTAGTAACGTTTATGGTTTGTTTTGGTTTTGTATGCCGCCTTAGAGCTAGATTTCATCTATGCTCATGCAAGTCTGTTTCACTTGGTTTCAGTTGGATAGATTGTGTAGTAGTCAGTGGACTATGCCTTGTATAATTATGAGCTTTAATTAAAATTTACCGTTTTGGAAAAGAAAAAGATATAACGTGATTAATACGTTTGACACCATTTTATTGTTATTATCTGTCTTGCTCTATTTAAAACATATTTATATTTAGAGCGCATTTTAATATATAGCTAACCATATATTTATACTATATACATCATAAAAAAAAGAGTAGTTGTGTAAAAAATTGAAAGAAAAAAATAATTCTTATATTATAATAATTTAATGGTAATATTGTAGTTACTTTTAAAAAATTTAACGCATCAAGCTTGTCTTATGAATAAATAAATAAAAAATTTGCCATCTTATCAACTATCGTTAAGAATTTAAATGTATAAGGATTCGTTAATATATACTCCCTCCAGTTCATAATATATGTTGTTTTGAGAAGTTGTACAGTAATGAAATTTTTTTTTTTTGGCTAATAATAACTCTCTTTAATGAAGATAGAGATAGATGTTTTAGGAAAAAGATGAAGAGTGAATATGAAAAGGCATAGTGTATTTATTAGCCAAATGAGGGTAATAATGAACAAATATATACAAAAGATCCAAAAAGTCATTTATTTGGTTTTTTTTTTATTTTTTTTTATTTTTATTTTTTTTTACGAAACGATAGGAAATCACATAATACAAAATAACCAAATGGTACATTGTCCAAATATTACATGGGAAAACCCCCAAAGCCAAGGGCATAAACCAGGGAGAACTACAAGAAACTTGTAGCCTAAAATAATATCAACTAATTAAACTAAAGGCAGTACAACAACGGGATCCTTTAGCCAATACAACAAAACAATTATAGATCAATGAGAGAACAAATCAAATACACTAATAGAATATCATGCACAATCCCTGCTCCACTGAACTGCTCATGCAAGCAGACCTAGATCAGGTCCTGTGACTTCTTCTGCTAGTAACTCCTCTCAGCTGCACATTTTCCTGCCATTCACCCATACCTCCTTTCACAATCCCAACTTCTGTCCTCCACACTTTGGAAAATAACCACAAGTTCCTAGATTTCCAAAGCCACCACATGATATAAGTTGTGAGCTCTATCCTGGCTTCAGAAATCTCATTTCTATCCACACTACATATCCATCCCCACCAATTAGAAACTTTACATGTCTCTGTATCCAAACCCTCCCAACAAACTGGAGCATGTTTCCATACTCTCTTAGCTCTGCATTTGAAGAACACATGCTCAATTGTTTCCTCCTCCAAACCACATCCTTGGCATAGGACATCAACTTCAATTCATCTCCTTCTCACATTCACATTAACAGGTAAAATCCCAGAAAAACATTTCCAGATAAAATGTCTTATTTTACCTTTCACCCTGAGCTTCCAACTTCTTAATCTGACATTCTTGTTTCTTAAAGCAGTGGAGCTGCCTTCTGCAATATCCAGCCTTAACAGCTTCTGCTTGCTCAGAAATTTGTATGAGGAGGATACTGAAAACTGACCTGTCCTTTGGAACCTCCATTTCCATTTGTCATCAAGGTCACAATTGAGTGTCTGAATCATTAGCACAGTTTCACAGTCATCTGCCACAATGATCTCTCTAACTTTCCGCTCATTCCACTGATTAGTCCCTATGTCAATCAAATCTGTTACCCACAACTCTTGGTTCTGGAATTCCAGTTTCATTTTAGGTCCTCTGTTCTCAATTTTAGGTCCTCTGTTCTCAATCTCAGACACCCAATTATGATCTTGAATTCTTAAGCTTGTACCATTTCTAACCTTCACTTGCATGCCTTTTTGCAACAAGCCTCTCACTCTCGACCAAGATCTCCACAACCAAGAAGTGTTTTGTTTTAATGTAGCATTAATAGTTGATAAAGCAAAAATGACATTTAAAAAGAATCGGAGGCGAAAAAAAGTTTGATTACAAAGCAGGTACTTCTAAATGAGTTATGCGATGGTAAAAGAAGGGTTTATAGGGATTCAAAGAATAATGTGATTGATGGAAAAATTTCCTTCAAGTAACATACTGAAAACATGACTTCATATCTAGGATAATACGTTCAACAATTGAAAATAATGGTTGCTTATTTATATTCAGGCACCATCGATTCTCAAATAAAACTTTGTTTTTCCATGAGCATCAACAAAGCACAAAGACAAACTGTTGCAAAAGTTGATGTCTAGTTGCCTCAGTTAGTGTTTTCTCACGAGCAACTGTATGTTGATTTTGAATTACTTTACTCCTTAAATTTTAACAACTGTATATAAGGATGTCGTTTTCATTATTAATATTTAATTATTTTTTAGTTTGATATTGAAATATCACGTTAAAATAGGTCGCGTGGATCAATGATTCATCAGCTCGGCATGGGTCGATGGTGAGATGTGTGTTGATTAATCTATCAAGACGACTGCTCAGTTATCGACCTTGTTGTATAAGGTCGGCTCCTACAACCTACGAGCTTGTTAGGTTGGCGGCAAGCGTGAAGCTCGACCTCGCGTTGAGGAGTTTTCTGTTGTATGATCAGCTTGGTGGCACCAGAGCCTAGCCAAGTTGTACGTTGTAAAATAAGGAAATGTGTAGGTCCGCGGAGTTGGAGTCAAAACAGCGACCTCAAGACCCTTAGGGTCTGACGACGACCTCAGGACCCTTGGGCCTGACAACGACCTCAAGATTCTCGGGTCTGACGACGACCTCGAGACCCTCGGGTTTGGCGACAACCTCAGGATTCTCGGGTTTGACGACGACCTCAGTATTCTCGGGTCTGACGACGACCATAGGACCCTCGGGTTTGGCGACGACCTCAGGATTCTTGGGTCTAATAACGATCTCGGACCCTGGAGTTTGGCGACGACCTCAGGACCCGAGTCCGGACCATCGAATCTGGGGACGATCTCGGGACCTTCGGGTCTGGCGAAGACCTCAGGATTCTCGGGTTTGACGACGACCTCAGGACCCTCGAGTAGATGATGGTTTGAGGGCCCGGGAAGCTCAAGAGCGTATTTAGGGAGAACCGAATCCCTTAAACATGGGAAGTATATATCATTGAGGATTCTGTAGATTCGAGATGATTTGGTTAGTTTAGAAGGGTGATATGAGAAGACTTCTTACCATACTAAAAGTTCCTTGGACAACACACAATCCTAATTATAAAATGATTAACGGGTTATTATTTTGACACAACACACATACACACGCAAAATATACTATTGCTATTCTATTTGTTGAACACGGACTGAATTGAGCGTTAGAGTCTTTTCTGTCGGGACTCCTCCCGGCATTTTGTAGGTCATGGGAGACGTCAAATTGGTTCAAATCAACGAATTGGTGTTTAGACCGGGCCAAAGGGCAAATTGCGCGTAACAAATATAATGTTAACACATTTTAAAATTTAATAATTTTTTGCTCTCATGTTGTTCTCTTCCATATAATTAGGTATCTTGTGTGGAACTTTACTAGTTCGACAGGAGCTGAATGAGGTACCTAAACCAGTAACAAGAATAAATAATATATATATTTTTATATATTATAATCCATGAACATGTTTTTTGGAATGAAGTACCTAAATCAATAGCAAGAATAAATAACAAAAAAATTTAACTATTTTAATCCATGAACGTCCTAGGAGATGCTAAGGAGATGCTTGATATATGATTTTTTGATTTTTTTTTAAACGATAGACTTCATTAAGAGAAATGCAACCAGAGCTAATCAGCAGAAATAATCAACTAATAGTTGAATATAGTTGGAAGGATTTCAACAAACGTAGTCTAAAACCATCTTAGAAACAAAAAACACGCAAAATACTAAAAATATAAAGACAAGCTCCCACAAGTGGAGGGAATAAGAGTTCCAAACGTAAGAATAAAAAGAAAAAAAGTCTAAAACACACAAACAAAACATAAAAACCAGCCTAATACTTAAGACTAAATTAAAGCCCTCCCCATCGGCCAGGAACCCAGCACGATAACAATCATGGTTAATTTTGAAAAATATAATATGATTAGTTGTTATTTATATCTTGAACTTATATTAAAATAATATTTACATTTAAATAGTTAAAATCAATTTTATACAAAAGTATGAGAGAAATGATGTGAAATGATGATTAGTTAAATTTATGTAAGTGGATAAATAGTGAATTAAAGTTGATGTGATGTGTAAAAATAATTGATTGATATTATTTAATTAAATTAAAAATATTAAAGAAAGTGAAGTTGATTTAAAGTTGAATTAAATTTGAGTTAAAAAAATTGATCAGTTAAAAATCACTGAATTTTTTTTATAAATCTTGTATCAAAGTATGCTCTAGGAAATGTCACGAATAGTTAAGTTTGTCTGATCATCAGAATCGATGAATCTTTAATATATTTGAATGAATATCATCAGTCTATGCCTTAGCTTAAAACAAGATCCCGATTGTGAAAAGGGAGGATTCAAAAAAATAAATTTTATATGCTTCAAATTACATATTTATTGTGCTCGATTCAATGGACATATAATTTAAAAATAAAAATTATAAGTTGTTAGAGTCAATATTCCACTGTATTTCACATGCTAGAATTGCATAAGATAAAAGATTGTGTTGTTAAACGGTATTGTCACGAGAATGGAAGTTGCATCATAAATATGGATATAATTTTTTTTATTTTGTAGTAGCCAATACAATAAATAGACAAATTTATGTGTTACGGTACTAATTAAATTTGGACACGAAACTAAGTGGTGAAAATAATAATCACCATTATATATAATTCCCAAATGAACTGAGTCTGACATACTCGTATGTTTCGTAAGCTTATTTAACATAAATTTGTATTTCGATTGACAAATGTACATGTTTGATTTTGATTATTAAACTTGAAAATTACCATAAACTATTTTAACTTTCCTTTTTTCTTAAGTTAATACTACTCTTACATTTTCTTATTAATTCATATATTAATTATCATAAATTATTATTATCTTTAAAAAGTTTAGAAATTTTTTATTTGTATTTTAATTTTTATATACGATATATCAAAATATATTTTAACGATCTTCAATTTGGCATCTATATTGCATATATAAAATAAAATATAATTTCATCCATCTTTATGAATAAAACTAATTTTATTATCATATCAATTTAAAACGTATTAAATAACAATATAAATTATTTTATAAAAATAATAAAAATTTAATTAATCAATACACCATAAAATAATCAATTTAATGTATTCTTTCCATAGAGTTTGGTTAAAATATATAAATTAATTATTACATAAAATAAATTATAGAAATATTATAAAATATTATTTCTCGATTTAAATAGATTATATAAGGAAATTAATATTATAATGTTGTTTAAAATAGTAAATATAAAAATGTCATAATTAAATATAATAAAATAATTTTACATTTCATAATTTTAGAAAATAATACATTTCTGTGTAAATTAATGTTCTAAAGTATTAAATCTATACTTATATTAAAAAGGGTACTATTTACCAAATTAAGTAACTAGAAAAGTCAACAGCATTTATTGCATAACTATTTTCGTACTATATTATATAAATAGATATTCTATTTACTACATTTATTATCCAGAAAAGTCAACTGTTTTAAATGTCATTACTATTTTGGTATTATAATATTTTATTTATTTAATTGATTTATTTATTTGTTTTATTTTAAAAAGGTAAGTATAATAAAAAAAATTTAACAATAAAAAAATTAAATACCAAATAAAAATGTACACTTTGACTTATTTGATTATATTTGGTATTTGATTAATCTAAATATATTCCTATTTAGTATATACATTAAATACTTACTAAAGTATTTATTTGTTTTATTTGTCAAAGTTAAGTATAGATTTGTTTATATTATCAAATCATAAAAAATATTAAATCCATATTGTAAAAAAAAATTCATATAATTTAATAACAATTCTACTACACTATTTAACAATATTCCTTTTTTATTATATAATAAAATAATATATAAATATTATATGGTGAACAACAATAAGTAAAACTGTTACTTTCTCTTATATCAAGGGATAAATTTATATGCTAAAATTAAATTTTTATTAGTATAAATGTTTTAGTGAGATAATATATTAATTATTTTACAAGCTAGCCCTAACATGCTCATATTTAATGTTTTAAAAGATGTAGAAAAAAAACTTATAATAACTCTATTGTTTTTTAGACTTAAACGTTGATTAAAAGAGGTAAAAATTCCTAATTTTTTAGACTTAAACGTTGATTAACACCATAGATTGAGAGTTTATATTTAGTAAAATTCCTAATTGTAATAAAAAAATTAATTTTTGCTATATTTTAGAATATCTTTAAATTCATTATAAAAAAAAAGAAAAAAAAAACTACAATGAAAAAAACAAGTCAGCTATATATCGATTTGTTGTACTCCTCAAATCACATTCACAATTTGGCTACAAAGAAATGAAACTCATTGATTAAAATATTATTTTGTCAGTAGTCTTAATGTACAAGAGACTTTAAGACTCCACTTGAATATTATAAAATTTTTATTGAACATCGTACAATTTCTTGCGTATTATAAACTTTTATTGAATATTGCATCTTATAATATAATACTCTCCAAATAAATATATCTCGCGGGTCATGTACTATATATATTCCGTACATTTTTCTTTATTCATGTATATAATTATAAGTCTGGATAAATAGCTTTAAAATTGTGCACCCCGTGCATCGCACGGGCTCTGTGCTAGTTATATGAATTGGTAATACTTAAAAAATTAGTAAATGAGAGACACCGAGTCTATAAATATAAAATATAATCATAATACGATAAAACTTGTTTTGCTTAAAAACATAAATCAAATATATGGAGTTGTAAATAGACGTATGAAGTTGTAAATAACATATGTTTTAGAAATATATAATTTTAAAAATATAAATACAAAAAATATCATGGTTGACAAATTTGGTGTAAACATACAAGCACTATTTAAATTAATTATCACTTTGTTAGTTTTATTATTGTTGTATATTCATATACATAATTTCATAATAAAAGTATCAATTGTTTTAATTTCTTATTGTATAAATATTAATATATTTAAGTACCCATAAACTGTGTCGTACGAGTAATAATAATAAATCAAAAGGGAAGTGACGTTACTTGGAGCACCTATACACTGCTGTAACCTATTCAGGTAATAACTCAACTGTAATAAGGAAGAATTAAGCAAGATTTTGATTATTTGGATTATATATACAATGTTATCCTGAACAGTAGCTTAGATGAAAAATGAAATTTGTATAAAATATGCTACAGTAGCAACTAATAAGTATTTAGGAAGATGACGAATAGATAAGGGAAAAGAACAATGATTAATATATACTTTCATAACAAGTGTTATCGACAATCACATTTTTCATTGACATATTATATATTATTAGCCTAGGTTAGCAAATTAACTTACATTGAACTATCTACTAATGAATAACTTTATTTATATAATTATATATAGTAAAATATGTTATTTTTTTTGTCCTAATTATTTTTAATATATATAATTTTAATACTAAAATACACACATTCATTAAAAAAGTATATTAAATTGCGGAATAAATTTTTCATGACAACAGTCAAACTGGGAGTCTGGGAAACAGTTAGTTAGGGAACCGTAAGAGATATTACGGTTGAGACGGATCCCTTCTCCCTAACAAAAAAGTGAAGAGAATGTTACTTTACGAGGTAAAAGTTCCCTTTCAAACGGAAAGAAATTCAAACAGAAAAAGACCCGTCATCCGTTTAGTATAGCCCGATTCGTCCCCTTTTCACATATATAAATATTATATTATTTATCTTATGACTCTATATTTATTTAAAATTATGGATGAGCCGAAAATTATGTCATCAAACCACTTTTCTATTCATCAACAACTACAATAATCTTTTGGATGCAAAATTTGTTGGAGAACAAATGTTGCGCAAGCTATTTTCTTCCGCAAATTTGAATGGAAATGGAAAATTATTGTTACTTGTATTTGAACTAATTTTTTAAAAGCAGTATCAGAAATTGAAATTATTGTTATTTTCTTTGTGCACAATTTTGGTGGCAATCAGGAATGGAGCAGGTTAAAGGCATTCACTGGAAAAAATGGAGCTTCCTTTCCCTCCCTTTTGACAGTGGTGGACTGGGATTTCATGATTTACAGTTGTTCAACAAAGCCCTAATTTGTAAGCAGTTGTGGAGGATTGCTACAAATCCAAATCTTCTTGTTAACAAGCTTCTAAAAGACAGGTATTTTCCACAATCCTCGATTGTGCATGCCTAAAAAACTCAAGGTGGATCATGGATGTGGAACTGTTGGATGGATTTAATGCCTTTCTTTGCTAAATGGTTCAGAATAGAAATTAGAAGTGGAGTTAACACTAGAATTGCTGATCTCAATTGGGTTCCAAATCTTGACAAACCAACTCGTACTCTGATTCCAAT